TGAAATTAAGTAGTAAATATTTATCAGTTTGCTTATTTCAAACCATAAGTATTTTTATACTTGCATACTAAATTAGTATAAATAAATAAAATTAAATAGTAAATATTCATGAATTTAAAATAACTTATTTTAAATACTTAGATTAATAAATGTCTTATTGTTCTTGATTTTCTTAACCTGTGTTTATATCCAAATTAATGTCTTGAGTCAGATCACAAAAACTTTTATGATCACCTTCGTCGTTATCCACATCTTGAGTTAGATCACAAAAACTTTTATTATCATCTTCGTCGTTATCTACATCTTGGATTAAACTATTGGTGACCACATTATTGCTTGTTTTTCCTAAACTTTCAAATACATAATCACTATTTTTATGTTGATTTTCTGGATTCTTAATTCACTCATAATTGAAAATTTTATCTTCTTCTGATCTATCTCTAGCCACAGAGACACCACAGTACTTAAAAGCCCGTACAATAAGTGCAGAATCAACCTGATCCCACGCAGCTTTTACCCAGTTAGCTACTTGACTATATGAAGGACGTTGGATATGGCCTGAAGAAGTTAAATTTAAAATTTTATTTGCCATCCATTCGTTATAACACTTGCGATACTAATTAATAAAATTAACATTCCACCAGAAGTTAAAAAAAAAAAAAACTATAATTACTAATCAATAAATGTCAGAAATGATACTGAAATTTAGAGTTTCAATTTATAAATATAAACTCTACTAAAATCCACCATACTCTTTTATTATAAATATTAACTTTAACCTAACTCAAAAAAGCTTAAAAAAATGCTTCAAAAAAATTTTAAAACTTCAGATTAAAATAAATCAAATTTCAGCATCATTCCCGACAATAATAAATACCTTATCCTTGAATGATTTATTGATATAGATATCCAATTGTTGCAGTTTGCTAGTTAATCTACCAGGAATTACAGCTATATTGGTGTTTTTTTCATAGAATCAATTTTTAACTTCAGTCGTAAGGTGGCCCAGGAATGAATCTAAAACCAGCAATGAACGAGGATTGATAGACAAAAGTGATTGTTTATTCCAAACATTTTCAATCCACCAAACCATCTCATTTGAATTCATATATCTCTCAGGATTGGTTCGAATAATAATATCAGGTGAAAATTTTTGTCGTAGTATATTTACTAACTTGAAGATTATTACTGGTGGCAATTTTTTTCTATTAGCCATGCAACTAAATACAACTGTGAAGTTAGACTTTTCATATCCTGTTGTACAAATTCCAATCGTTTTGGCACCAGTTTCATCGATAGTATAATTTGACAGCATATCAAAAAACAAAGGAGTTTTATCCATATCGTCTATTAATAGAAAAGAGTAATCATGTTGTATACGTCTATATAACATAAAATTTAAAAACAAATGTCTTTGTTCTTCAAGATCAGCTGGTAATTTTTGTAAAACTGTGGTTTGGTGACAGTTGCTTAGTTGATTCATGGATTTTTGAATAAAGTAAAATATAATGTATTTGCTTGGCTAGTTGTTGAGCCTTGGTTCTAACCATGTATCGGGATATCACTTTTTGGTTTGCACGTAAGGATTTTATCCAAGATACAAGGTCAGTCTCTAATATTGGATATTTCGCATGTCCTCTGGTATTTAATCGTCTAATATGTAGTGGAGAACTTATTAGCTGT